TCCAGGCTAAACATAGCCAGCTCCCTAAGCCACTCCTCATAGGGCTTGGTGGTTTCCAGACCTTTCACCATTTTGTTCACCCTCCTCTGGACATGCTCCAGCTTGTCAAAATCCTTCTTGAATTGCGGTGCCCAGATCTGGACACAATATCCCGGGTGAGATCTGACCAAAGCAGAATAGAGTGGGACTATGACTTTCCTCAGTCTAGACACTAGACTCCTATTGATGCAGCCTAGAGTTGCATTGGCTTTCTTAGCTGCTGCATCACATTTCTGACTCACGTTCAGCCTATGGTCCACTAAGACTCCTAGATCCCTTTCACATGTACTACCATCTAGTCAACTGTCATCAAGTCAGCACCGACATATGATGACCCTGTGAACAACAAATCTCCAAGGGTCCCGGTTATTAACAATCCTATTTCTCTCCTGCTGATCAGCATGCCTTTCCACTCAGGTTCATGGTGTCCTCATGAGTCTGTTGGGCTCCTACCATCATTCCCAAGACCCATTCTTCCCCACAAGTAATTTAACCCACCTGTGGCCATTGGCTTCAAAGTCAGCACTGTGCATCTGCTCCATAATTTAGCATTTAGTGACCTTGGGCAAGTCACATGCTCTCAGCCTCAGGTGAAGGCAATGGCAAAGCATGCCAAGAAAACCCCATGATAGGCTCACCATAAGTCGGAAACGGCTTGAAGGTACTCAACAACAACAACAAATGAACTTGGAGCTAACCAAGATTTCTTGTTGTTATGTCCCATCAAGTTGGCCTTGATTTATGGTGACCCATGCATGGAAGACCCTCCAAGAAACCTTATTATGGTCCATTGTTGTGTGGGATTTCTGAATTTAGAAAAGAAATGACTAAAAGGTGGAGGGTGGGGAGAGACCGACTGAGGTTTCTAAATGAACCAGAGTTTGGAGAGAAGAAGCAGAGGGTTTTTGATCCCGCAGTTTGCTCACAAACGGATTGGATGAGAAACTAGAGGCTTTAAATTTAGGACCAAGTGCTCCTTCACACAACACATGTCTGACTGTACCTGCGAAACACACATGTCGGCTCCCCCGGATTCCTGACAGTTGATGGAAGGGACCTATAGGCTTAATCATAGGGTGAGAAGCTCCGTATGCCTCCTATTCCTGGTACTTGTAATCTCCCATATTTCTTTCTTTCCCTCTCAACCTCTCTTCCTCTTCTCCTCTCTCTCATATTCTTTCTTTATTTTCAGAAGCGACTTGAACCATGTGGCTCCTGGATCCCATGCAGCCCTTAGAAGGTCCATCATGTGACCTTGGGACTTTCCAAAATGTCTAGCATCTCTCTTTAAAAATACCTTTTTCAGATGAAAACGTTACACTTTTTGAGTTGGCGGAGGTGGACGTTGATGTTTGGCACACCAATTTGGTCTCAAGCAGGAGTACAACGGTTTGAGAGTTTGGACTCCGGGACCCAAAGTTTGAATCCTCGTTGACCCCAGCATTGGACCTCCAAAGTCTGGAGATCCCAAGGCAATGATAAGTCAGATAGGTGCCTTCAAGTTGCCTCTTGACATATGGCAACCCAATGAATTGCATAGGGTTTTCTTAGGCGAGGAAGACTCAGAGGCGGTTTTGCCAGTTCCTTCCTTTGGTGTTCACCTCCCTGCACCCAGGGCCAAAATCTAGCATGAAGGAATGGTAGTGTTGGGACCAAGACAGTGAACCCAGTCACCCCTATGTGGTTGACCAAACCCAATAAAGAACTTGGAAGCCATGGAAGAGTCAAGACAATTGCATTGGACACATCCTCAGGCACCGACTGGCCCTCTTGACAATAAGGCTGCATCTGCCCTGCAGAATGAATGCAGTTTGATGCCACTTTCACTGCTGTGAAACTCTGGGATTTGTAGTTTCATGAGATAGTTCGCCTTCTCTGTCAAAGAGCTCTGGTGCCACCACAAACTACCAAACCCAGGATTGCATACGACAAAGCCATGGCAGTTAAAGTAGTGTCAAGATGCTTTACTTCTGAAGCGTAGATGCAGCTCAGGTCAACAGTGAGACACTTAAAGTGTGTTTATGTGTATTTTCCAGGAGCACCTCTAAGAAGATGTTCACATTTTTAGCAAATGTACACCATGCATGTTTTATTTATCTGGAATGCACCAAATCCGCCTTTTACGTATGAGTAACTTGGATGTGCTTTAGGTTTCAGGCACCTGTGTATCTGTGTGTGTGTGAAAAGCCTTGAGAATGGTGAGTTCAGCAGGATTTCATTTCTCTCCATAACCCTCTTCACCTGATGCAGGCGATGCATCAGTGCGTCTTGGGACCTCTTAAAAGCTATACAACATTTCTTCGGATGTAAAAACTGGCCACCTCTAACTGCGTGGAGTGTTCTCTCCAGATAATCAAATTTGTTGTTGTTCATCATAAAACGCCTCGCATGGACTGGGCTGAGGCAGGCAAACACTGCCTGAGACACCCAGAACCCACCATTCTGGGTCACTTCCTATCAGGGGTTGTATATGCTTTTCTCTGCCCTGGTATGTTGTGTTATGTAGTGATAGGTTGTTGTCGTTCTCGTTGTTGTGTGCCTTCAAGTCATTTCCAACTTATGGCAACCCTAAGGTGGGGTTTTCTTGGCAAGTCTCTTCAGAAGGGGTTTATCATTACCATCCTGAGGCTGAGAGAGTGTGACTTGAAGTCTAAGTCTTTCACCAGATTATATTTCCCAGGTTTGCATAGGGTGAAGCCATGGCAGTTAAAGTGGGAATCAAAGTGCTATAACTGTGCAGTGTGGATGCACCTTAGGAGATGTGGAAAGAAATGTGGATAGATGGATAGATAGATAGATAGATGGATGGATGGATGGATGGATAGATAGATAGATAGATAGATAGATAGATAGATAGATAGATAGATAGATAGATAGATAGATAGATAGAGGGACGGACAGACAGATGGATAGACTATGAATAGACAAATGGATAGACAGATATACTATGAATAGATGGATAGATAGACTATGAATAGACAGATGGATAGATAGATAGATAGAGGGACAGTCAGTCAGACATATGGATAAACTATGAATAGATGGATGGATACATAGATAGATAATAGATAGAGGGATGGATGGACAGACAGACAGATGGTTAGACTATGACTAGATAGATAGATAGATAGATAGATAGATAGATAGATAGATAGATAGATAGATAGATAGATAGATAGATAGATACATCCTGCAGCCCTTCCCTTGCCAGTACACTGCTCAGAATGGCTTGCAACAATTTGATCCTATGATTAAAAAATATATTTGGGATGGGGTCCCACTCATTTACATTTCCGGAGGATAGAAGTGAGAGAACTACCACTGAAATGTGTCATAGGAGAGAGAACATATGCCGTCCATGCATTAAAATAGCATTTATCTTACTTTCCACTGACGTCCTGGTGAAATATGCTCCCTTTTGCTTGCAAAAATGCACAGATGAACAGATGGCAAAAAGCTTAGTTTGGGGGTATTCTGTCCATCAAAGCCAACCTGGATCACTGGTGCCTTTTGCTATAATTGGACGACATGAAGTCCTCGCAGTCGAGGTTTGACTGGTGGAACCATCCCCAGCCCTCCAGGGATTTCATAGCAAAAGGGAAAGCTTGGAAGAAACTCCACTTTTCTCTGGGCTTTAGCACTGTGATCCCAAGCTGCCTTCCTAAAAAAAAAAAAAGTTTTAGTGGCACGTGACAATGGACAAAAATAAGCATTTGAACAATTTCAGCTGCTTCTTTTTTTTTTAACAACTCCAAATTCAAAAATACAATGGGTATTAGGAAGCCATGTTTGCATGGGGAATGTTGGACTTTTTTTCTGAGCTTGGATGCATGATGAACTCAGAGGGGAATAAAAAGAAAGTAGGGAGCAGTTTGAGTTGTTATGGGCTGCATCTGCACTGCAGAAATAATCTGGTTTGACACCACTTTAATTGCCATGGCTCAGTGGTATGGAGTTCTGGGATTTGTAGTTTTGTGAAATATTTTGCCTTCTCTGACAGAGAGCTCTGGTGCCATAACAAACTACAAATCCTATCCATCTATTCATCCATCTATCCATCCTTCTGTCCAACAGTCTGTCTGTCCATTCATCTATCCATCCATCCATCCATTCTTCTATCCATTTGTCTGTCTCTCCATCCATCCATCTATCCATCCATCCATCTATCCATCTGTCTGTCTGTCTGTCTGTCTGTCTGTCCCTCCATCTATCCATCTATCCATCCTTCATCTGTCTGTCTGTGTGTCCATCCATCCATTTACCAGTATTCATCTGTCTGTCTGTCCGTCCATCTATCCATCTATCTATCCTTTCATCCATTTATCCATTTATCCATTTATTCCATAGCCTTGAGCCATGGCAGTTAAAGAGGTGTCAAACCAGATTACTTCTGCAGTGCAGATGCAGCTGTGGTCACTTTTGCTATATTCAGAGGCAACCTTTAGGCAAGTCATGTTTCATTGACACCTCATGCACATAGCCTGAAGGTCATTTTCTATAATATTTTTCAAAAACAATGTTGTGCATGGAACAAAGGTTGTGTACACTGAACCTTCTAAAATCAAAGGGGTCACTGTCACAGCCACCCATGGGTTTTGGAATATTTCAGATTTTGGAATATTTTGGATTTTGGCATT